TTTTGTAAATAGTAACTTTTTCTCTTTAAATTTTCATAAAGTACATAATGTAAATATTATTTTATTATTATTATTATTTTTTTTTTGTATACCTCTTAAATAAATTTGATTGGCCTTTATTAATTTTTCAGAATAAGGACCCCTTTTAAATAAGATTGCGAGATTAAATAATAATAAATAAGAATAAGGACCCCTTTTAAAAAAGATTGCGAGATTAAATAATAATAAATAAGAATAAGGACCCCTTTTCAAAGCGCCCTACGTATATGGTAGCCTACGCAGTCGCATTTCTGGGAGGATTTATGATTGTCTTAGGTATATATGGAGTGTATTTTGTGCGAAACCCCGGCAGACTGCATGCCTTCTAAGACGCCCCAGCCAAAACCAAGAAAAAAATACACCTGCCTTCATTGCGGCAGTGTATTTCCCGAAGGGTCCTTCGTAGGACACTGGTGCTTAGCCGACCCAAAGGCTCAAAGGACTATGTTGGACGTTCTAACTACATAGTGGTGAAGGAAGGACGCACTTTGCGACGTCAAACGCCCAGCGGCCATCCTTCTTACCATACGACCTCAAATGCGTAAGCTCCTGTCCTTCGATGACGTATCGGACGCGATCTGGCGCCCACAGGCTGTACGTAACGCCCTCGTGCGCCAATAACAACCGTAGCCTGTCGATGTCTTCGAAGGCTACGTAATTTTTTAGTTCGTAGGTAACACCCTCCWWTAAGTCTGGCCAGTGTATTTGCTTTACGGCCTCARACTCCATATATTCTATGAAATATCTTTAAGTGCGTCTTTAAAGTGTCTGTGTTCCTAAAGCGCTTGCAGCAATATGCACAAGGTAGGCGAATGCCTTGTGCATACGCAGCGATGGCACGGCAGATATCGTCGTAGTCRTTGCTTATGAGCAYCTTGTAACCATTCTGCTCATACCTTTGCAGGAGTAGTCGTTGATCCTCAGATAATACCCCATTGCCTTTAGGAGTCTTCAGCTCTACGCAGAAACCGCGGYATCGCACGTGTGCATTCAAGATGAGCAGGTCCGGCTGACCGCGTTGGTAACCTTTTTGCCAGCACTTTATGCKTTTGCCGTCTGAATCCKGCAGTTCACCTAGACCAGGGGTCACAAGCATTTGGGGGTAAAACCTGCGGATATAGTCCACCACTTTCTTATGCMGGTCGAATTCGTTTTCTATTTTAAATACCAACTTGTTAGGGCCGTCAAAGCGCCGCTCTATCTCATACTTACCTGTCTTCCTTAGCGTGTGAAGGACATCCTCGAAGACCCAATCGCGAAACTCCACAGCTTTTGGCAGCCTGGAGCTGAATATCAATTGATACAGACCAGGCTCGGAAATGAACACGGAATGTGGCTGTAAGTTAGAGGAGCCCTGTCTTGGGGCCCCCTTTAACTCATTCAACCTTTTCTGGTATTTCTCAGAAACGTGCTCTCTAACTGCATTTCTAGGCTTCTCATAGCCCAACGCCAAAGCCACTTCCTTCGCTTTGAAGTACAGTTGATCGCCTTGCACTATGCATTGCAGTTTGGTATTGTTGTTTTCAAATATGCGCAACATGGTATATCTGAAAAATATTTTAATCTTTCCTTTCGCTTGGCTCAAGGAACGTGAGCCTAGTATGCAACACTTTTAAGTTGATTCATTTCTATGCTTAGCTGCGCGTCGCTGACTACGAAGATGTAACAGTTTATCTTAGTAGTATAGCTGGCATGCTTGGTGCGCTTGATCTCCAATGTTATGCCATCCTGCGTATTTACTAGACGTAAGCCCTGACCATGCATGGATTCGTCGTTGGTAGTGCGCATGTCAATCCATAACGCATATTTATCCGTGAAGAACTCCTTTGGGGCAATTTGATCGCCAAACTTTTGCATTGCTTCCCGGTACATGTCTTCAGGTCTTATTCCTTGGGAGTAAACCTTGTTGGGTACTCCGTTGATATTCACGCCGACATTGGTAATGTTGGGGTTAAAGAACGCCTCGGAGTCGCGCAATCCTGCGGTGTATGTCTTTGCGAACAGCAGCATTAATCCTGTCGAACTGCGTCGTGGTATATTAATACTTTGGTTGATAACCTCTTCGACGTTGTTTGTGAAGCTAAACGTCTTGTACATTACTACGTGGTCGTAAAGGAATGCCTTACCAGCACTGTATTCCATGCCTGCGCTACGAGCAATCTCTTCAGAGTGCACGGTCTCGTACTGCAGCTCCAAGTTCTTGATAAAATAGGGATCCACGGCCGATCCGCTTACGTCCTTTCCTTGCAGAATGTTGGTCGTATCTGCTAAGGTTACTTCGAACTGCAGTTCACTTAGTTGTCTTGGGTAATACGCACCATGGTTCGTTATTACTTCAAAGTCCAATGGAATGACATATTTGGTACCGTAGGCTGTCTTTATTTCATCTTCTCCGGAGGCGCCAGAGGTTTCGCTCCTTACCTTACGTATGACTTCGCTTGCTATTCCTTGTTCTATCTTTTGCGCACGGTCGAACGCCGTTAGCCATAAGTCTTTGTACGTGGTGTAAAGATCGCACTCTGAAGAGTTTGCTCGTAGCGCAGGCATGGAATACTGTTTAAGTCCAACAAGGACTCACCAGCAAACTTAATTCTCATCTTAGAAATAAGGTTCCTGCCTATGTTATTGACGACATAACGCGTGTCTGCGGTATCTGGCTGAACCGCTAGGTTAAACCTTAACGCTAACATGCCAGGAACCAATACTAAGTTATCCGTTAGACGGGGTACGCCTACAAACAGCGTCTCCCCTGGTTTGGCGCTGGATGGAGTAAAGGTGACCCGGTGAAAGGTGCGTTCTGCTTTTAGTCCGCCAACCTGCTTAGGTAATACGTTGGGATTTAACTTTGAGCTTATCATATATAATGGAAGGAGAAGGAACGGATTTTGACCCCCTTACCGAAGAAGGACAAGTTGATATTAACGATGAAGAATACGAGTCTTTACTTCCCAGCGACAACGTACCCCGCGAGTATATTTGGGAAAGGCTTCAAAACAGGTTTGGTAGTAGGGCACTCGCGGCCTGGCGTTCCTTAGAGGCCAAGTGGTGCACGAAGAACCCCGGAAGACCCATTCCTGAGTATTTACAATTGGAGGAAATAGACACCACAAGCCCCCACGTCGAAATGCTAAGAGAGCTCATGGACAAAGTAAGGGAGCGGTATCCTAACGTAAATCTGGCTCTTTTAGAGTTCCAGACAGGAGATAAAGGTCAAATCCAAGTTCGACACACAGGCAGAGAAAAATGGTACAACTTTTATCAAAGGAGGGAGTCTTCCGCACTTAACAATGGCCTCCCAAAGGAAATAACGACGGCTCTGGGTCGCCCTAACTTATCCTTGATGCACACTTTAACCAGCAAGGAAACTATGAGGATACAGGAGACATTCCTCAAAGGCCTTAAGACCCCCGTAATGACCGACAAAATSCATGCCGTCGCTGGAATTCTGGATAAGGAACAAGAAAAACTCATAAAAATACAGGCTACAAAGGAAGACGTAGAGTAGAAGCTAACGAGCACGCCATCGGGCAGCAACACTGCCTTGCAGCTGCAGCAGTCTTTAGAATCCCTCAACATGGAAGAAAGGACGCAGCAAGAACTCGTAAGCGAGCACAGAGAACAACTTGACGAAGTCACAGGGCAATTAGATGAAAAAAAYTCCRAACTAGAAGCAGCGGCCGAGCACGTCGAATACCTAAAGCAGATAATGGACGAAAGGGAGGAGGAATACATAAAGCAAATGCAACTGATGACCGATGCCCGCGAACRMGAAAGCAAGGACGACAARGACCGCATTAGCAAGTTACTGCACGACAGGGATACTGCTAGAAGAAACTATGACCGCGCAGTTAGAGACATTGGGGATAGGAACGCCGAACTTAGGCGCGTGGGCATAGAACTGGAAGCCTCGGTAATGCAAGAGCGGCGGTTAAACACGGAAATCATCGTAAAGGAGGAGCAACTAAGACCAAGAGAGCAGGCCATAGAGGACCTGGAAAGGCAAATACAAACGCAACGGGAGATAATTGACGATCACACTCGCACCGACGGGGAAAGGGAGGCAGCCCAGGCGCAAGTAGGGTCCCTAGAGGAAAGGGTCGCAGAATTACAAGCACACAAAGAAGGTTTGGAAAAAGAATTAGGTCTTACCACCGGGGAAAAAGTAAAAAGAGCCCTTTTGAAGTATGGCATTCCGCTGGCAATTGCTGTCGCCATTTCAAGCGTGGTAGGAGTAATCCTTAGCACACTTAATGCTGCAAGCAAGGGGACAAAGGCGATGGTAAAGAAGTTAGGCAATGGGCTAACGGACTTAGGTAAAAAAATGGCAGCAAGCATTCCTGGCTTGCTCGGTAGCGTTTTAAACCTGGTATTAAGAACCGGCGGAGAACTGTTGAAGTTCGTGGGGAATAACATTTGGATCTTAGTTGTCGCTATTGGAGTGGTACTCCTGAAGAAGATGAAGGTGTAACCTTGTCCGGATGTATTACTGGGGGCTTGTCGTCGTCGGGTATTCGAGGCGTCCTCGACTGGGGATAAGTAAAGATAGTATTCGCGCCACCTTGATAATTTGGTATCAAGGGTATGGCAGTCATGGTACTAATGGTCTTATGATTCCAAATAGCATACGTCGGAGGGCCAACGGTTGGAGCAGCATTCATTCGAACGTAGGCGACGTCGTTGGGGAGAATTTGAAGCTTTGCATATTGACAATTGGCTATCATATGAAACGTTACTGGTGTTAGGTCTTCTACGCTTACTGGAGGGGGCTCACACGAGAAATGGGTTGGGTTCCTAGTATTATTTTTTGTCCTGTTAGGCAGCAACGGATGGTTATTCTCATCAAYGATCCTAAACCCAACGTTACACGAAGACCCCGTCGAAATGCTAATAGTGCACATGATTAATCCCAGGCCGCCGACCTCCACCCACAATCCGGTGTCATACCAAACCTGATTTAAGTAGTCCTTCTCCTCTAAGTAATGAAAAAACCGATCTTCCTTTACGTGTAGATTCATATATTTAAAGGCTCAYCACCGTAAGAGTGCTGATGGTCGCATGATTATAAGGTCGGTCTCTTTGATCGTGTACGCTATTTACCGTTACTACACCCGTGTCGTCTACGCGTATTTGCAGCTTTACTTTTCCATGGCAATCGGCAACCATGTGTAAAGTCCAAACCGAGAGATTTTCAGTGCTACCGGGGTTGGGCTCTACAGAGAAATGTACGGGCTCCCTGTTGTTCGTTTTCGTGCGCATAGGCTGCAGTATGCCATTGTCGTCGCAGAAACGAAACCCGACGTTGGCGTGACTATCCGTACCAATGCAAATACTACAAAGGATTAACTTCTTTCCTGAGTAGTTCAAGTCCACAGACATCCCCGTGACATCAACCAAAGCTGCTTGGGTGTATTTTTCTCGCCTGTGTAAGTCGTGTAAACACAATCCATTCCGGATACGTAGGGGTTGTTCATCGCCATATATAATAACTCAGACCAATGCTTGCGGCGGTTAAACCGGCTTTTAATAAGTTATGGTCATATTCCTCGGGTATCGTAGGTAATACCTTCTTTGGTTTCTCTACGTGCTCTTTTTTTAATGGTACGTGCTCCTTCTTTGGCTTCTCCACGAAATGGGGGATGTTCCTAAGAGTGTCAGAGTCATTCACTCCAAACTTCATATCCTTAGTAGCCTTTTGGAGCTTGTTGTTGTATCCTACTACGGAGCCAGCATTCATGGATAAGTTACTTGGCATTAGCCAACAACCCGGGGCTACCGCATAGTCCAACCTTGCTTTAGAATTTTGTATAGCTAGTTGGTAACGCTGTATGCCTTTGCTAATGTCGCCTTCCAAAATTGAACTTTCGAATAAGATCAAGGCTTCGGCTCTGGTTTCTTCTGCGGCGCCGGTATTTCCAATTATGCTTGATCGGGTATTTACCTGAGCTCCAAGGATAGAATACACGTAAGCTTCTATGCTGCGGTTCAGACGGGCAAGACCGGCTCTAGTTAGTCCTTTACCTTCTGGGGGTATGAAATTAAAGTACKGCTTTGTGTGTTCGTCGTTGGTTATACGGATAATCAATGGATTAGCCCCCGCATACTTACCGCCATCGTCTTTGAACAGAGGTCCGTMTCTAACTTCCTTAGTGGTCTTAGCATTTGGTTCAAAGAAGGTGCTACTGTCGTAAGTTACTTTATGATAGCCTGTGTTCCATCGTAGCCGCAATGCATGGACTTCCTTATCGCTTAGTTCATGCCCTCCAATTCCCCAATAAGCCCAGATGTGGCCCAGACCATTGTTGTGTCCGGCGGTGCATCGGAAGTCCTTTCCTACAACTCCAAACTCCTTACAAAGTCTGTCGTAGCAGGTGAGTCGTATTTGTTATCTCTGGGATCAAACGCAGAATCTCCTGGTAGGCCAATAACACCCATCTCATGCAGTATTCTTCGTACTGTAAAGTGAAAATGGAACATAAATATTGAATTCTTCATCAGGTTTGCACTTACACCACAACCGCTAGTAGCACACCAGACAGCAAAGTTCAATTGCTGTGGCCAGTATCGCATGTTTGGTCCACTTAACCATTCATGAGATTCCTTAGCTGTGGTGTGATTTATAGGAACTTCCTTGAAGATATCTCGCACCTTTAACTGAAAGGAATGGTTGTTAGAGATCCGCATGTTTAATGTTAGGTCTAAGCTTGGGTGTTTGTCAAAGGAAACCGCAGGTATCGGATAAGTACTGGTACTAAATAATAATTCATTTGACCAACTGGGCGTAACAGGCTTCGAAGGCTTCGGCTTAGGATGTTTGATGGTCACCTTCGGTTCCAAGTCGGCATTGCTATACATTCTGGAGCCGTCGAAGTAAATCCCGTCAGGCCTACGCTCGAACTTGCTAGCGTCTACATGTGGAAACATCTTCCTAAATGCTCTCCAGTTAGCATAATCCCTGTTATCGTGATGTGGCTGCTCCTTAATATCATTCCCAAAAGCGTCGTACATTAGTATATATAATGGATGTTATACCATCGGCACCTCCACTTTATCCTGAACTTCCCAAAGAGATCCCAAACGAATTAAACGCTGAAAACTTTCGCTTAAATAAAGYAAATTTAATCCTGGCTTACTTTGAAGGTCAAGTAAAGCACTACGAGGAGGTTAGAAAGAAATACGCTAGAGCCCGGAGTACGCTACATAAAATTGCGATAACTACGGGATCCATGTCTGTAGCATTAACAGGCACTGGCGTTGCTACTTCGCTTACTGGGCCGGGAATAGTCGTAGAAGTTCCTTTAGCCGGCGTTGGGGCAGCCTGTGGTATCATCTCGGCTGTTGCTACGGGTATTATGAAACAGTTGTCAAGCAAAATATCCAAGCATGACACAACAATAGCTCTGTCAAGGGCTAAAGTAAATATCATTACCGACCTTGTCTCAAAGTCTTTACGTGACAGAAAGATAGACGACGTAGAATTCTCGCTTATCTTAGCCGAAGAGGAGAAATACGAGAAATTAAAGTCGGACATCAGAAATAAATAACAGTCGTCAAAGATCTTTCCGAGGCAACACGCAAGAAGAYCTACCAAGAAGCAAAGGAAGAGCTTCAAAGAAAACTCGCTCAATAAATATTTGTTTTGAAAAGAGCGTGACAGGGTTTCGTTTACATATCGAACGCCAGCTGTATGCAAATTAGTTTCTTACATTCCATTTCCCCCTGTGTACTTTTCAACTTTAAAAGTAAAAGTGCTGGTTGCTATGGGGAAATGGAATGTTGGCGTTGCTATGTGATGTCATCGCCTCGGAATCCATCCTAACAGGGGGTGGTTGGGGTCTATTTTGTAAAATATTTCGTAAATTACGTCAGGATAATAAGGAATATCCTTATCCAGCCGACAAAACATCCACTCGGCTCTGCTCATATCGGAAACCTCGGGAATAGAGTTACCGGTTATCTGAGACAAAAGATAGGGAATACTTTTGTAATATTTTCCTAGTTTTAATTTTTTCAGCGTTTTCCGTAGGCTTTGTGGCGTTGGTTCTTCTAAATGGTCTATGATTTTCTTCTTTACTTCGTCGTCTAAATATACCGGCCGATGACCTTGGATATGACTCATCCAGTCTTTAAAGTATTTTATTCTTTTGTATGGAGTCTTCTTACGACCTCCGTTGCTAAAATAAAATTGCTAAAATAGTAGAGTAAAACTGACGAGTTTGAAAATGGGCATTAAAGATGTTGATGGGTTTATAGTTAACCGACATTTTTCCTTAATATTTGTCAATAACAGTTTTGTAAGAACTSATCTTTTGTTATTGTTTGTTAATTTTATGGCCAGCGCATGCAAAATTATTTACAGTTAACTTATAATTGACTTATTATAATTGAAATATTTAATAATAAATTTAGCAAGAAAATATGTTAAGTTAGGAAAGACAGGAAAACATATTTTTACTAATTCGATATTGCTAAAGTGTTATAAGCGACTAAAGATTTCAAGCTACAATTAAAAAATGTATAAAAGAGAACAATCTTTTGTGCATAACGTGCGATTCGAACCCACCAAAAGGACTCCAAAAAAACCGCAGAGCTGAGGCGTCCCTTCTGTCCTTGGGTGTACGAATTACGCAAGAAATGTTCTAGCCGAAGCATCAGGGGAGAGACCAGCCGGCCCCCAGACCATATCGGCTAATCCCTTGCATCTCTGCCACGCACGGAATCGGTTGAAAGAATAAAATCAAAAAGGCTAGTCTATCTGGTACATTGTTTTCGCGGCTATTGTTATGCTGATTACGTAAAAGAACTGTGGTCCACTGGTATAAGCTTGGGTATCGAAGATACTGAGTCAAGCCCCAACGAGGAGAGTTAGCTTTTGGATGGGTGACCTCAGCATTATGTCTACTCAAAAAAACTTTTGATTCTAAATTTTCTTAACTGGTTATTAATCAAAATAACTTTTCAAACAGACGAGAATGGCTTGAAGTGGCTCTAAAATAGAATACTTTAAATTGAATTTAAAAAAGCAGCGTGTAAAGGATTATGGTCCAGAGACGGGGGTAAAACGTCATCTCGATTGCGGTTTATTGAGCAACAGTACATACATAACTTTATTTGATAATGCAGGTCTAATTAAGGGCAACTATACAGCTGATGTGGACCTACAGATTAAACTAAGATAAATTAATATAAAGTAAATTAGATAATTTATAAAAACTCTACATATAAACATATATATAAAATATAAAAATATCATATATCATACAATAAAAAWTATAATCTAGTATTAGTAAAACAAAATTTATTAATATCTAGACTAGCTAGGGGCATATAGCTCAATCATAATAGTCAGAATACTTTTTATAAAAAACAGCACTGCCTTTTTCGAAATTTATGTTCTTAATGTCATTCTTTAAAAGCTTAAGTTTATTTTTAAAAGCTGTCGGATTTGAAAAACATCTCATCTTATCTGAA